GACTCCACCAGGTCAGTCATTGCTTCCCTCCAGCCAAGGGATTTTACGGCATCTGTGCACATCAATGATGCACAATTGTACGTCCCCATGTTCCCAACATAACAAAGCTATGTGCCTTTTGTGATGGACATGCAACACTCCCCTTTGGTATGTCCACTGCACCATGGATTTTGGACAAGGTGCTAGCCCCTGTACTTGTTCTGCTTTGTTACCAGGGAATTCGGATAGTATCTTGGATGACCTACTACTGAGAGCACAATTGTCACAGACTCTGTCATAGTTCGACAGACTGTGCAGAGGTTCAAGTGGATCCCGAACCTCCATACATTTCTGCTGGAACTGATAGTTTGGAGTATCCTACAGAACACTTGCCTGTCCTGTGTGAACATTTCTGTCCAGGAACCAACCATCCATTCACTTCTGTATGAGGGTTCTGGGTTTAATGGGAGCTTCCTTTGAGGTCGTACCTTATGCCCTGTCCCCTCAGGGGACCTGACTGTTGGAGGAGGCTGGTCTCCCAATCAACATACTGGAGCTCATGGTGATTTGGTTATCCCTGAAACACTGAAACTCTCAACTACGGGGCGTTCAACTAGGATTCAATTGGACAAAGTCACACAAGTAGCATACATCAACTCCACCATCTTCCCCACCAAGGGGAAAATAAAAGTTTCAGCTCAGAGAGAAGCAGGTCAGGTTGTAACTTGGGAGTAACTTCACCTACCAGCTCTATTTGTAGTCCATTATCTAGGAATTGAAAATTGGGATGCAGGCTTCCTCAGTCATCAACGAGTGGACTACAGAGAGTCGTCTCTTCACCCAGAGGTGTTTCAAGACCTCGGTCACAGATGGGGGGGCACCAGACCAGACATGGACCTTCTGGCATTTAAGTTAATTGACAAACTGGAAAGGTTTGTGATCCAGATAGAACATCTTGGCCCTAGCAGTGAATATCCTGGTGACTCATCCCAGGCAGATGTGGTACTAATACCTCATAAAGACTCCTGGCATATTCCTTGTGGACCCTTCCAGATTGTCAGGATTTTCTGTCACAGGAACTTCCTGTGCCTCACAGTCCCTGGCTTTGGCAGCCTGGCTGTTGAAGCCCAGGTTTTGAAGGGTCAGGACTTATCTGCACTGATTATCCCTAAACTTTTAAAGGCTAGGCGTTGACCACTCGTAAGGTCTACCATCACAACTGGAAGGCATATTTCTTGTAGTGTAGGTATTTCCACCCCAGGAAGGACTCCAATAGAGTCTGAATCAAAAGTTGTCCTTGAGCACCATGAAGGGACAGCTTTCAGCCCTGGGAATTATTTTCCAAGGACCACTAGCTTCTTACTTAGTGAAAGCTTTTTACAGGGTGTTGCTCATATTGACCTACCTATTAAGGACCCTGTGTCACCATAAGAACTTAACCAGAAACTGCACTTTGATCCCTTCAGGGATGCTTCCTTGTCTACTCTCAATCATAAGGTTGCCTTTTCTTGTTGCCATTACCTTGGCATGATATATTTCTGTGTTGGCAGCCTTAGGGCCTGTTCACACGACGTCCTTTTTCTTTTTTTTTTTTTTTTCAGCATGTAGTTTTTATTAACATATGAAAGTAAAACAAACATAGTCTCGAGATAACACTCGACAGCAAGTATACAAAAATGGACTAGTTTCAAACAATATACAAGCAATACTGGTAATGTTAGGCGGGTAACTAATCCTGATGGAGGCCATGTTTGCATATAATATTACAATTGACATTCAAATCAGAACAGAAGATAATCAAGTTGGGAGGGGGTGAGTAGGAGAATATCTAGGCAAGGATTGAAGGGATGTTAACATGGGAGTAGGCAGTAGGAAATCGGGGGTCGCTGAATGGATTAGAGCGGTGATAGAGCGTTCAGAGCTGACGTGTTATGGGTGGGATGAGGATATTTGCATAAAGGCCTTAGATCTATGGGACCTGAGAGAGGGGGTAGGTCTTACATAGTGCCATGTTGGGAGGGTTTTACTCGAGTCGATGTGTGGTGGAGAGCTGAAATTAGGATTCATGGGTTACGGAGTAGATCTAATTCTCCCAAGGAGCCTGCAATTTGAGCCTTGAGGTACCAAGATGTGTACTGAAACGGGAATACGATCTGTTTAAGTTGGTCCCTAGGTAGTGTAGTCGTAATAAACTTTGCCCAGTCAGAGAAAAACTTGCCTGTGTGTGAATGATTGAGTTTGGCTTCTGTCTGGTCAACCAGTAGAAGCTTAAAAAGAAGTGAGTGTACATCAGACAGATTAGGCGTGGCCATAACGAGCCAATTGGTCAGTATGACCTTTTTGGCCGCGAGAAGGCAAAGGTGTTCCCAGCGGGAAAGCGGGGGGGGAGCGAAGGGTCGTGGCAAGTTTCGCATCCTGACGTCCTTTTTCTGTGCTGACGTGATCCGTACGCTCCTGCACTAAAAATGCATCCCTATGTGTGTTATGGGCTACAGTTCTCACGTGCGCAGTCCGTTCAGGTTACGACAGAAAAAATACTGCATGTCACATTCTTATTAATGGTACGCATCAAAAACGCAGGCAAAATGCGGCAAAACACATAGCACCGCGTTTGCAGATCCGCACCTGATCCGGACCTGAAAATCATGTGAAGAGGGCCTTAAAGTAATAATACACTCAAAAGGATTTTAAGCTATTTTTATGCTGATTAAATCACGTTCAACTGATGCTGCTCCTTGATGTATAGCAGTTTTTGTTTCCTGTAAAATCAGCTGGTCCCCTGAGCACTGGCCCTGATATCCTGTTTTAGGGTGTCTCTTCTTTCCCTTGCAGGGTCCTATGGAGCCACCCTTTGCTATTAAAGTGACATTAAACCCTCAGATTTTTTAACATAAAACAATATTGTAATGTGTGCCTTACTGTAATCCATGGTAGTTTCCCTTCTCTTTGCTTCTCTTCCTTTTAAATCCTCATGTCTTCTCATGCTTGGGGATAACTTCCCTTTGCAGCTGAGCCTCTTCCTGTAGTGTTGGCTCAGGTTGCAAACGTACACACAGACACCATGTAGCCATTCCAGAGACAAGGCAGTCTGCTGCAAAACAGAAGTTCTGCCCAGCATGAGAACAGATACAGATTTAAAAGGAAGAGCAGCAAAGAGAAGGGAAACAACCATGGATTACAGTAAGGCACACATTACAGTATTGTTTTATGTTAAAAAATCTGAGTGTTTAATGTCACTTTAAGCTGTGTGTCTCCACAAACACAGGCATGGCAAGGCAGAACACTCCCCTGATCCATACTCCCCCCTTCTCCTTCCTGTCTCCTCCCTTCTCCAAGCAACAGAGAAAAAACTGCTGGAGACTGCTCTGCCCATTGTGATCTTGTACTGAACAGGAAGTTAGGGGAAGCAGAGCTGAAAGAGTTGGAGCTAGTTGTTAAGAAACATGATAACTGTAAGTGTTTGGCCAAAAATGTAAAATACTTTGCTGGGGAATTAATATTTGTTTGGCCTGGATTCATTAGTAAAAGAAAGTTTGAGAGTTTAATACTACTTTAACCTGCAAGGAATCTCTACTGGTACTTCATAGAGGCAAGGCTGTTTCGAGACCAACACCTAAAAAGTGATTTATATGAATAATAGGATTCCAGTACCACCTCCCTTTCATCCACTGGGTCTGGGGTGAGATAATCCACTGGAGGCCACCATGGGAGGGCAGCTGAAGAGGCAGAGTCAAATTCTTGAAGCCAGGTCTCAGTAATAGCAAGTCGGTTAAAGGAGTTGGCGATAAAAAAAGTTAATGGCCAGAGGTGAGCTTGTTACAGGAAGAGTGGGAATTACAGTGGGTACAAGGGAACTGGCGGGGGGCATGGGGGGGGGCACTTGTGGTCATGTATGAAAAGATAATATAGAGCTGCATTGATGTGTCTTTTTTATCTGCCTAGGATTTAGCTTTATGATGATCATGATCATCTCAGATGTGTGTGTACCTTTAGTTTAGAGCACTGAGGCTTTATATGGAAAACATGTAATAAAATAAAGTAGATGTTGTAGTACGAAAGGAGGCTGGAGTGTTCAGCTAGTGATCAGGACAATTCTTTGTTCCAAACAACACAAATAGTGGTTACACATTACACTTAAAATATGTTAATTTTCTGTTATTTGCTGGCCGCATCTCTTAAAAAAAAATATTCACTGTCATTATGCAAACAAGCTGTCATATATCCTGCAAAGCTACCAGTTAGTATAATGAAGCTCTTGAGCCTAAATGGGAAATTGTGATTTCTTTAATGAATTCACATCCATGGTGTGGTTGCGGAAGTTATAGTCATTGAATGCTAATTTCCATCATGTGTGATTCCCAGACACCACAGCCTTTTTAACACCTTTAAAGTTTATTTCTGAGCATGTAAACCTCTTATTTTATTTTTTCAGCTCAGTGTAATATTTTTTTGTAAGGAAGAGTGATCAATAAAACTAAATACATAGAAACAAGGTGCTCCCCCATGTAATCCTCTTTATGGCTGTGTGTAAGCACAGTTAGACACTGTAGCTGTTCTAAAGCTCACAGTGGAAAACCTTTTTCAACTTATAATGGATCAGCTTTATTGGTTTCTATCCCAGCTTTCACATTAAATTAACTCAATTTGTTTTATTGGTATTTAATATATTCTTATGACTAGCACAGGTAGGCTTTGGATGGCATTGGAAATTTTAAATGGCTATTGACCTTCTAACCACTGAAATGCTGTGGCTTAATCCATTTATTTTCTTTCTGCAAGATGACAGGTCCAAATGAGAAACATTAACATTTACCAGACAGCTCAAAAATATATTTCTTGTTATGCTCTGTGTCTTATGTTTATTTTTCCAAAAGGAACATACTTTTTGTTGTGCAGTGAGCACATGAGCCACAGACTGGGCAAAATATTATTTTAGGAGCCTTCTGAAGATATCAAAGCAGCCGCTGCTCTCTGTCCTCTCATCTGATTGTTTTATAATTTTTTTTTTCTTTTTCTTGTAGGAACCCCTCTGCTGGTAAGACGGAGCAGTGACCCAACCATGGGACCAGTGCCTGATTTTCACCCAGGTTCTTCTCACACTGCTGATCAGAGTATGAAAGTTACTGTCCAGGTTAGTGCAAGGACAAGCAATTTCATGAAAAACACAGGCAAAATCAGAACTCATTTTACAGATGAGTGAAAGATAAAGATAAATGTGCTTCAATTGTGGAATTGTTTTAACTTAATATTTTTATTAATATAAGTAAATGCATTCAACAGAAATGCAAAATGTAGCATAATATAGCATTATGCAAAATGTAGCATAATGTATACTGAGGTATAGTAGGATTTCAATAAACGATGTGCACATATCACGTGAATATATGTAATATAAAGCTACACCACTGACACATGGAAGTTGCAGATAAGATGTTGGAACTAATTTCCGAATATCCATGGTTACAGTCAGAACACCTAATGAGGAAACTAATGGGGTATGGTAATAAGGTAGAGTAAAACATTAAACAAAGTAAGTAAAAAGAGAGGAGCAAATTACTTAAGATGGAGGTAAGTGGACATAATAAGAATTATGAGATATTACCAAAAAGGAGAGATGTGTTTCTTTTGGAGGGATAACTTGTATTATGGTACATCTGAAGAATAAGGCCACGTACCAAAGTAAGCTACTGAAATTTTAGTAGGACGCAATTGAAGTACCAGAAGTGTATAACTTGGAGTGAAATTCACCTTCTGTACTGGAAAGGTTAGAAAAGATAAGTTGGAAAATAAAGTAAGGTTGACTAAATCGGTCGAATTAGACTGTGACTGTTGGATAATTGTGGATTTTTGATGACATCACTCAGTTAAGTTTAAAAACAGTTTTCATCCCTCACATTTTGGTAATATTTCTTCCAATGTTATGAAAGATTTGATTTTTACCCATTTTTCAAACAAGAATTTCTTGGAAATTGTAACTTGAGCGATTTTTATCATGTGGTCTGGCAGGCATGTTTCAGTAATTTCCACCTTTAACCTGTCATGAACCTGTGGGCCTGTCACTGTGTGGTTCCACCCACCAGTTACCTTACATCACTACAGGATATAGTAGTCACATAGGGGCAAGCAGATGGAATCACAGTATAGGACACTTCTGGGAGTTTATCTGATGCTTTGACAGCAGTGTTTCTTAAAGGCGACAAAGACATTAAAAGCTGTCTATTTCCCTGCAACATACTTAACAATTTAATTTAAGTGGCAATAGAGTTACTTCAGATTAGAAGACAGCAGAGTTACACCAGAGTTACATGAGTTTTTTTTGTTCTTTACATAATATGAAAAATAATGTCTCAAACTAAATCCAAGGTTATATTATCAGTTCAATAGCTGTGCAAAGTGCACTACACATATTAACTGATCAAATTTCAGTTTACAGAACTCTAATTACCGTAATAGCATACTAAATTAAGTTGACTACAGTTGCTGGTTGCGCTTTGCTTAGTCTCTGTAGATTGTATAGCCTTAATAAAGTATATGTTACCACTAAGTATGAAAAGTTAGTTACCGGTTAATTAGTCCCTCTTCCGCCCCCAAGCAATTCATTGTCTAAGGTAATTCCTAAGATACACAAAATCCCTGATGATCCTGCCAGTCCTCTCTGGAAACAGCCACTTCCTGCTTGCAACTGATTATGCCACGCATGAAAGCAGATCTATCCTAGCAGATCTATCCTAGCATGGTCAATTTGCGTCTCTCCTGTGGTCAAAATAAAGTTGTCACAACCCCATCCCACCCTCCACAGTATGAGTACCGTGGCTAATCGTTGGCTAGGGGTGTCAATCATCCCTGTATCCCCACATATAGTCCAAGTGAGGTTTCTATGGGAATAGAGGTCTGCTACTGCATCAGTGACGTTGACGGAAGCTGCCAAGCTTCTTATGTATTATCCTCCACCAAGCTGCGGTAGTAGGTAGGAGTGTGTCTGAGCAGTAACATGACAGTAGAATCAAATAGGTAAACAAGTTTTTTTCATTTTTTAAGGTATTTAATTAGAGCTTTAGTTCTTTTTTTCAATATAGAGCTTTAGTTCATTTATTTTCATGCATTATCTTTACATGTATTTTAAATAACAATATGACTGTCTAAATTTCCCTCTTCTGCAAAGACCAAGTGAAGGAGAATGTAGAGTTTTAATCATTAATTTGTTAACATTTAGCTCTCTACTGTGCACATCCCATCTTTCTCAGCCTGAACCAACATGTGGCTCCTTTTCTGTATTTTCTCCTGGGAGGGAGCCTGTCACTCACTGGGAAATAACTGAGCCAGGCCACCAGAATTCTGCGCACCCCAGACGACAGATGGCCTCGGCTTTCACACTGACCTTCATGCTGGCTGTGTTTATAGCTCCATCACCTCTTTCCCTATCCTTGCACCTCTGAGACAGTTGGTCTCTCCAACCAGCTGTTTGCAATGCATTTGAATTCATCTGCATCCCCAGGGCTGTAAACACTACCCCAGCAGCATTCTGTAGTGTTTCCAAGCACGACTGTTTGTCCAGTAAGAGCTGAAAACTGGAATTTTAGATAGAAGTCAGCCAGATTTCACATATTAGAGTACATGTCTTTAGACTTAACCTTCTCACTGCTGACAAATTTGTTAGGTGAAATGCAGCTTACAAATCAAATGGCATTGATATTCTAAACATTAAGAGGCATTACAAGCAATATGCTGTACTGATAGGAAGAATAGAGGGTGAACAAAATATCCTTTGGCTAATTTCAGTGCTCTGGAGTTTGTGTCAGCCTCATCAAATTACAATTCCATGAGGATCTAAATTGATTTAGCTCTCTAATTCTAGTATTGTTTGCTACCTGTGCATACATACGCACAGGTATTTGCTGTCTCATATAGCTAAAGCTGTATGATATTATGTGATTATTTAATGTCAATAGGATAGTCCATGAGAATCCTGAACAATCATTGTAGGGAAACAAAGTGATTAAGCAATTGAAATACTGGCCCCCATTACTATTTTTTTCTCCAGAGGTAAGCCAGGACTAGGACTGCCCACTCATGCTTCACCTCTCGCCTAAACAGGAGTGCTAATGCTGCAAAAGGTGTCCTGCTAAGGGCAAACCCCAAGCCAAAATACAATGTGAGATGTAATTAAAGATGCATATGCATTCATTCGCTGATATCTGTAACCAGCTTTATAGTAATGTGGCATATTTTAGTCATTTAGAGATTTAATACCTGTTTGTGATTTTGTTGACACAGTGCATTTTTGCAGCTAAAAAATAAATAGACATTTTAGGTACTGTGCAGCTTTGTCATTTTGGAGGGTCAAGGCTAGCATAGGCGAAAGCTCCTGGTCCAGATTGCTGGATGATCTAAGGTCTGACATAGCAGGTGAGGACAACAGGAGGGGTTGTTACAGGAAGCTATATAAAAATGTTTTATAATTTTATTTGAAATATATCTTTGTAGGGCTGCAACAACTAATCAATTAAATCAGTAATAATCGATAATGAGATTCGTTGTCAAGTATACAGTATACAAAACGTTGGTTATATGGTATATCAGCACCCTACGCATAAGAACAGTATTGTTTAGTAGGCAAAATTAGCCTTTGTGTATAAATTTCACGCTATAACATCAAATTCTTTCACAGTAAATATAAATGTCACCATATAGTGTATTTCAAATGTAATAATTGCAGAGACACTTGGTTTACATTGTAAACCAAGTGGCAAAATGGTACAAAAATACAGATGTCTAAAATACCCATTAAAAAACTTGATAGCCTTGTATTGTGTCGTGACTGAGCGATTCCTTTCAATAGCTTGCACATCCTACTGCAAGATGAATGGTGAGAGTTATCGATGTCTTTTGTTACTGGTTGGAATGTGTTAGCCAGTGTGCTGTCCATGCAAGATAACCAGGTTTTTATCTCCAAAGACATAAAAGAGACAGAATCCTTGCATAACATAATACACTTCCGCTAAAGTTACAAATACCTCTTATCTCTGTTTAGAGAATTTGAACATTTGTTGGACGGGATAGGTGGCAGAGCATAAACTGTTTTGCTACAGAACATACAGCCTGTGTATATTCATTTTAATACAGTTTACATTGAGAGATAGTAAATGAAACATGAGATGCCTTAGAAGTAAAGATATAGAAATGTTTTGTTTTAATAAATACTTGTTGCTGATCTCCTTTTCAAATAATACTGTGGAAGTTTTTGATGACAATAATCAGAGAACAATAATAGTGCAGTTGGACAGTTTAATCATCATTTTTCACCTCTGGTCGCATTTGCTAGTCACTGATAAGGTAGAGGAAGGCATGGCATTGCCCATGTGCCTTTGTTTTCAGAGAGAAAACACTGTGCCCATCATTACCGACAAGGCCAAGTGCTTTTGCAGTCATAGGAAGTTGAAGGCCATTTCATTTATTATTCTGTTAATGAGCACAGTTCTCATGTAAATAATCTGAAAAGGGGTATTTGGCTGAAAACATGGACACCTGGGGCACAATTCTGTAAACTGTTTTATGAAGACAGATTGGTGCTGTCTGAAGAGCTCGGACAAGCATAATAATTAATGCCGAATGTTGTCTTTTGTCTGACATTTTCTTTTTGCTGCAGCAGAGCCAATGTAACATATTGTTGTGTAATAGGCTGTGATGGCATATCATGCTTTCTTTCTATCCAGACGCTAGTGCCAGTCCAGTGGGTGAAATGTTTTTCGTGAGGTATAACATAGCTAAGGGCTTAATAATTTTCTTCTTGGCTTCTCCATGTTTCTGGATTCTTTTGTCCCAAATGGTTGGAACCAGATTTATCGGATGGAAAGACGGGGGTTTGCAATTAGGCTGGGGTCTTCTCCAAGAATTAAAGATGTTTCTTTCACCAAAGAGAAAATGTAAGGGAGCTTTTCTGACTCAAATTTGCAGTGTTTTGTTATACAATGCAAAGACACCAACTAATGTCAAGTCAGTTAAAAAAGTATTTTGTTGGCAAGTGTTTCATTTTCTTATTGTTAACGGCCCATTTAGATCTGCTGCTTAGTAACATATGTTTAGGTAGAGGTTACTGAGCTATAAGTGCCTTTTGATAGA